CTACCCAGAGAGCCCACTACCCCGTAAATCAGGAATATAGCCCAGTTTGTATTATCAGTATCAGAATCGAGACCCTCGATATAGCTCAAATCATAAGATGAAGCCGTATATTCCTGATTTCGCACAGCTCCGATGGTCCTTGGTCGTTTGTTCATGTGCCCGATACTGTACTTGGAGGTTCATGGGTAGCCATCAGTGGAGTTTGGGGTTGAGGGTTTAGGTTTCGGGTTTAGCGTAGTCATAAGTGGACTTATACGTCCTTTTGTACAGGTTATAACTGTAGTTATCCTGCTTGTACAGTGTTTCGGGGCCACTGCGGGAGTGCGGAGAGGCCCCCTGTACTGTAGGGGTGTTACTTATACCAAACAGGGTTTTCAGGTATGTTATACAATAATTGGGGTCAGAACGCTAAGAGCCCTCAAGAGCCTGGCAAAACTGCAATCCGTGCATTGGCCAAGTGAACCCACCAGCTAAATCCTCAACCCCCAATCCTAAACCCCTACACCCTAAACCCCCAATCCTGTCAACCCCGAAGCCTTGAAAGCCCCTGTCAACGCCGCGAGCTCCAAATCCAAGGTCATGCCAGACATCACCAAGGGTCCAAGCTGGACCTGGCAGGAGACTGGGCTATTCTTAGGGGGACTTAACTTAAGTTACCATAATAAGGAAACCATATATTATCTACTATAGATCCCTATTATGGTAACTTAAATTGAATCCCTTAACAAGAACCCAGGAGAAGTTCGGAGACATCGTCCGGGCCACGCCCTTGATCGACCGCCAGCGACTTGGTCTAACTGGTTCTTAGTAGGGAACGGAGGAATGGGTCTTTGGGACTGCTATAGGGGACCTGAAGGGACTGTCATAGCGATCCATTCCCCCCATTCCCTACAAAGGACCAGGGAGTGGTTTAGGGTGTTAGGTTCAGGGCTTCAGGGGTTTGGGCTTTAGCATCTGGGTTTTGGGGTTTTGCGGTCTCCGAATGTCGCAACCTAAACAGGGCTTCCGGGATTCGGGAGTAACCCGCCGGGCCGGCGGGATTCGAGATTAGAGATCATTTCCGCCACGAATGACGGCCCAGCTCTTGAACAAGTCCTTGGCCTTGAGTCTCTTCAATGCGGGCAGAGATGCCCGAGATAGATAGATAGATAGATAGATAGATAAATAGATAGATAGATAGATATAGGTGTGTGTATGTATGCATGCATGCATGCATGTATGTACATATATATATATAATTTATTTATTTATTTGTTTATTTATATATATATATTTATGCAGATATAGCTGAGCATTGAAGAGATCCCAGATCCTCGAATCCCCAACAATCTCTTCCACTCCCGAAAGCCTAAACCATCCTTAGAACCCGGAAAGCACCCTCAAAAGGGGCCCTTACATTACCAGGAAGAACATCTAAATGTGGGAAGTTCTCTTTTTTTTAGGGTCCCTTTGGGGGTCCTTTTTACAAGGGTGCCGTACGATATGTTGACCGAAGGAAGGACCCTGATATAGACAACTACCTATGCAACTCCAAACCCTGAACCCTAAAGTCCAGGCTTGTCAGAACAAGGGATCCAGGGCAAGGTTTCCGATAATTCCGGGCCATATTATGGAGGTTAGGGTTTAGGGTTTAGGTTTCAGGGTTTCGGGATAATAGGAGTCATATTATGGAACCCTCCACTCAAGTACCTTAAAGCCCACTTTTGACTTCCAACCATGGTGGAACATCTACGTAAGCCCAAAGCCTGAGCCGTTAAAGAACCCTTAAAGAGCCTCTGAAAGAACCTTCCCTTAAAGAGACATGAAACATCAGGAAGAACATCTACATAACTACGGTGGCCGGAAGATCCTACAAGCTGAGTGCGGAGGGACAGCTGATCTGGACTCACTACACCGACGGCACCCTGTCATGCCAGCTTCGGGTTTGTGTCTTTACACGGGTTGGCTGGGGTTTCACTTGTTACTTTTATTAACACTTTTTTCTGTTATTGCTATTGTTACTATTATTACTACTATGACTAGTACTTATTGTTATTCTTATCATTATTATTATCATTGTTACTATTATGTTTTGTTGGGAAGTTCGGACCTAGGGTTGCTACTTGGAGATTTCGGACAAGCTGTAGTAGCCAAAATGTGGGTGAAAACGTACCCTCAAAATAGTTACCGAGATTCCCCAAACCCTAAAGCCTAAACCCCAAACCCTAAACCCCAAAACCCCAAACCCTCCTAAACCCTGAACCCTAAGCTCAGGCAAAGGAAGTGTCCCCGGAGTTGGCTCTTTGTGGGAATCGGTCATGCTGCTGCTGACGAGGCCCGGGATTCAGTGTTTGGGATTCTTTAGGGTTTAGGGTTTAGGGTTTTGGGTTTAGGGTTTAGGGTTTAGGGCGTTTGGGATTCTTTAGGGCAGGTCTGAGAGACCTCACCCTTTGCAGGTTTGTGCACAGTCGGACTGTCCCTTTCTTCAGAGGGGTGGGATTGGAGGACTTAGGAGTTAGGGCTTTAGGGGGTTTAGGGTT